GGCGGGGAACGTTGGCTTCCTCCTTCAATGAAGGAAGCAAGCCTCATGTGTTCGCTTCAGTGCATGGCTGCCAGCCGCCATCTTGGCTGACAGTTAATTTGCATAAGGATATGCTGATTAGCCAGTGGGAAGGGTAGCGGTCGTACGCCAATTACCATGTTTCTCTTTTATTAGTGTAGATAAGATTAAACCAAAAACCTTCAATTTACCTTTGAATCTATATTTCAACTTTTAAAAATTACAGCACTGCATATAGATCAATGAAAGCTGTAGGGGGTAAAAATATTCAACTTCTCTACTCAGGTAAATCTATTGGTTTTCAAGGTGCTTTTTTTCCTTTGCCATTTATTCCTAAATTCTTTCTGGACAATTTCTGTAGACTAGCTGTAGGCAAAAAAGGTGGTAACATTACTTATTTTGTGTAACAAAATAAAAATGCTACAATCTTTGTCACTAAAAATTTAAAAATCAAATACATAAGAATAAAATATATAAAATTATTTAGAATCAAAATTATAGTAAAGGCTTGCTATATATTTGGTCACCTTTTTTAGTCATGTACAAGGAGGAACAAGAATACCTTATATTAAATCATCTGCAAGTAAATTTTTTTAAAGCTTTATTTTCTGTATAGAAGTCTGCAATTGTGTGTTATGAGGTCAAATAAATCTTACAGCTACTGAAATACCCATCTTATTTGGGTGATATAAAATATCAATTAATCTGAGTCAAATTGAAATTTGAAAGAGTATTAGAAGTTGTTCTTATCTTTTTCAAATTGCCTTAAATTTTCTATATGGTGTATTATATATGGAGTTTCTTTTTTGTAGGAATCCAAACGCCGAATGAATTACTTTTTAGATGTTTTTATATTTCCTCAAGAAGATTTAGCTTTGAATTCAGCTGTTCTTTTGTGGCCTTGGAAAATTTATCCCATCTTTGATGAAAATGATGAGGTAAATATATTTTTCAGTGTATATTTTATTTTCTGACATTTTAAAAAATATGCTTTATTGATTTTTTACAGAGAGGAAGGGAGAGGGATAGAGAGTTAAAAACATTGATGAGAGAGAAACATCAACCAGCTGCCTCCTGCACACTCCCCACTGGGGTTGTGTCCGCAACCAAGGTACATGCCCTTGACTGGAATTGAACCTGGGACCCTTGAGTCTGCAGGCCAACGCTCTATCCACTGAGCCAAACTGGTTAGGGCTATTTTCTTACATTTTAAGCATAGTGTTTATTCAGTTTTCATACATACTTGCTGTCTACCTTTAAAAAGTAACTTCATGTGTCAATATGAGTTTGGGACTAGCAACATTTATGGCCCTGCAGGCTTAGGACAGGCTGTTAGGCTTAACTCACAGTAAGAAGTGAGACTAATGTTAAAGAAGTCAGAACTATGATATAACTTGATAATAACAATAAGTACTACACTAAGTTTTTCCATTTATTAAATAATTTAATACTCACAAAAATCCCAGGTAATCTTATTTTTCTCATTTCATAGATGAGAAAAATAAGTCTCAGAGAAGTTAAATAACTTGTTCAATATCACAGGGATAAGAAGTAGCAGAATTAGGATTCTGAATATAGTTTAGATTTTGAAAAAGTTTTAGTGTTAGCCAGTTTCTTCTAAATTGGGAAGTGAGATGGTATTATAATAATGAAAAGTCAGGTAAACTAAAGTTCTAATCTAGATTTTGACTTTTACGGTTTTATGACATTGGACTTGCCTCTTAACCTCTGTAAGCCTAGGTTTTTTCATCTCTGAAATGAGAATAATAATACCTGTGGTAATGTAGATAATAAATGGTAGCTTTTTAATTATTATCCTAGAATCAATAAATAGTGAAATTATATCTGATTAATAAATAACAATTGTTACAGACACTTTGGAAATCAAGGAAAATTTTTGTATGGTTTATTATTCTTTGCATTTTAATATCAGTCAGTGTTTTGTTTTTGCTTCTTTAATAGTTATGACTAAACAAAGCATTAAGATTTCTGATTTGATAACTCCTTTGTAACAAAATAATTAACATGATTTAATTGTCTTTTAAAAAGATAATTGAAGTTGCTAAACGCAAAAAAGAAAATGAGTTAATAGCCAAGAGAGAGAAATTGATTTTGGAACTAGAAAAGGAATCACGCCGCATGGAGGAGTTTGCAGAATTTGCAGAACTGGACCGCATGCAACAGGTTTGATAAATATATAAGACAATAGTTATGGCTGGTTCATAGATTAATACAGGACATGTTTACATAAGCTTAAGAAAAATGTGTGCTTACCATGGCAAGCAAGAGCCTGACTCATGGGCCTAGAACTGATACTATTTATATGATCTTTTTTGTGGCTTAGTTTTCTAAGATATAACCATACTTTTTGCTATCATAGTAATGTTGTAAAGTTGAGAAAGTTTCTATATAACATTACATGGATATTTTTTGAGATAAAAATTATTTGTTTTCAGTATGTGACCGATGTAAGACAACTGCAAAAACGTATTCAGGAATCTGAAGAAGCAGTTCAGTTTATTAATAAAGAAGAAGAACTTTTCAAGTGGGAAGTGACAAAATATCCTGAATTGGATAAATTGAAAGTTAACATTGAGCCCTATCAGAAGTTTTTTAATTTAGTCTTGAAGTGGCAACGAACAGAAAAACGGTAATTTCATAAATATAAATGTCATAAAAATAAAGCAAATGATGTAAAAGGATTCATAAAATGAACATACTAGCATATTGATTTTTTTGGTTTTGTTAGTTAAGTGTTTAAAGTAGGACTTATTTGTTAATTTGAAAGAGAACCAAGTATCCTAAAGGAGAAGCATCAAATATTACTAAAGTAACTACCTAAGCTTACTAATGCATATGATATCTAAAATATAACTTAGGTTTTCCAGAGGTGATTCCTTTTTTAATGCAGGTAGTTAATCTGACGAATGTTCACACCAAAAATTAGAAGTATGGATTCAAATCTACATTTTCTTTTGATACTATTAGTTATCCATTTGCAGTCTGGTGCATATTTTAGCGATGCAGCATAGCTGAACTGATGGTTTTAATCTTGTCTCTTTACCATCAGCTCTATCTGTGTGACTAAGAAAACCTGTTAACACTCTTGCCCTCATTTGTTTCTCTTTTATTTTTTATTTTTTTCCCCGCAGGCAGTGGCCCCTAAGAAGGAGGCATTCTTTTTATTTTTTTTATTTTTGTTGTGTGTGACTGGAATCGAACCTGGGACCCTTCAGTCCACAGGCCAACGCTCTATCCACTGAGCCAAACCAGTCAGGGCTGTTTCTCTTTTAAAATGAGAGGTCTAGCCTAATGAATCCCTAAAGTTCCTTCAAACACCAAACGTCTCTGAGTTTAATACTGTTTTTTTCTTTTCATTCAGGTGGATGGATGGAGGGTTTTTGGATCTTAATGGGGAAAGCATGGAAGCTGATGTAGATGAATTTTCCCGAGAGATTTTTAAGACACTGAAATTTTTCCAAATGAAACTGAAGAAGGAATTACAAGAAAAAAGAAAGTTAGCAAAAAGACGATCTGTGGGAGAAGAGAGAGTTGAAGAAGAACCAAAAGAGAATCCTACTATTAATATGTGCTCTACAGTAATGGAGAACATAAAAGTTTTTAAGGTATGAACACACTTAATGATATTTTCAAAAGCCCTGGAAGAGAGAGCTCTTCACATCATCAAGTGTTAATGAAGAGAAATAGATTTAGAAGCAAAAACCAAAGATGAATCCAGAACCTGAATCCAATGCTTCATTCTTTCCTGATGAAGTCATCAAAATGAATTCCTTCATGGAACAATACTTAACAAAAATAAAAGACTATAACAACTAGCTACAATGATATAGAGAGAGGATAAAAAAAATTAATAGGACAGACCAGTTAGCCTATACTAAGGGCAGCAACACAGGGTGACATTACTTAATTAGAAAAGTTTTGGAGTCACACTACCTAGGTTTATATCACACTACCTAGGTTTATTCTGCATATGTAGCTTCTTGTACCTCAGTCACCTCATTTATAAAGAGAGGATAATAGTTTTATGATAGTTAATATTGCATCTACCTTCCCAAGGCAATAATGGCAGTGGTTCTAATGTAGTGCCAAGTTTCTACAGTCAATATACTCGAGTGCCAACTCTGTGATGGGATTTTGAGTATTGTTCCTGTCTGTGTCTAGCGCTCTGAGATTCCATGAGCTGTATGAAAAAATTTTTAAGTAACTATTTAAAATTATTTTCAATGTTTAATGTATTTGTATGGTTTGAAAAAATAGGAAAAGATATATCTGAAAAGTTTCTTTCCAAAGTTTTTCACCCATGTAACTCAGGTTACCAGTGTTATTACATTCTTTTGTATATTTTCACAGTTTTGTTACACATATAATGATGTGAATATATGTTTTTTATCCTTTCATCTTTTTACATAAAATATATTGCACTATAGGTATTATTTCCCCTTTTGTTTTGATTAATTTGTCTTGGAGGCCTTTTCTCATGGTATATAGAGCTTTTACATACTTGTTGAGCAGTTGAATAGAATTAGTCTTTTTGTTTTCTCTCCAGCCTCATAAGGAGGTGCTCTCCACACAGGTTGGCACTACTTCTCTCAGCTTCTTCATGGGTGAGAAAATAATGAATTTTTAATGAAGCTAAATTTATCCACTTTGAGAGTATGTTTTTTCTACTTTATATGTGTTAAAAAATTATTTAACAAATAGTTATTGAGTGACTGTTCTAGCATGTTCTGATGAATCCTGGGGAATATGATGGTAAGCAAAAACAAGTGATGGTAATAATACTGGAAGGTTAAAACCCAAGTCCTTTCTTTTTTCTTTATTGATTAAGGTATTATGTATGTGTAATCTATATTTCAACTTTTAAAAATTACAGCACTGCATATAGATCAATGAAAGCTGTAGGGGGTAAAAATATTCAACTTCTCTACTCAGGTAAATCTATTGGTTTTCAAGGTGCTTTTTTTCCTTTGCCATTTATTCCTAAATTCTTTCTGGACAATTTCTGTAGACTAGCTGTAGGCAAAAAAGGTGGTAACATTACTTATTTTGTGTAACAAAATAAAAATGCTACAATCTTTGTCACTAAAAATTTAAAAATCAAATACATAAGAATAAAATATATAAAATTATTTAGAATCAAAATTATAGTAAAGGCTTGCTATATATTTGGTCACCTTTTTTAGTCATGTACAAGGAGGAACAAGAATACCTTATATTAAATCATCTGCAAGTAAATTTTTTTAAAGCTTTATTTTCTGTATAGAAGTCTGCAATTGTGTGTTATGAGGTCAAATAAATCTTACAGCTACTGAAATACCCATCTTATTTGGGTGATATAAAATATCAATTAATCTGAGTCAAATTGAAATTTGAAAGAGTATTAGAAGTTGTTCTTATCTTTTTCAAATTGCCTTAAATTTTCTATATGGTGTATTATATATGGAGTTTCTTTTTTGTAGGAATCCAAACGCCGAATGAATTACTTTTTAGATGTTTTTATATTTCCTCAAGAAGATTTAGCTTTGAATTCAGCTGTTCTTTTGTGGCCTTGGAAAATTTATCCCATCTTTGATGAAAATGATGAGGTAAATATATTTTTCAGTGTATATTTTATTTTCTGACATTTTAAAAAATATGCTTTATTGATTTTTTACAGAGAGGAAGGGAGAGGGATAGAGAGTTAAAAACATTGATGAGAGAGAAACATCAACCAGCTGCCTCCTGCACACTCCCCACTGGGGTTGTGTCCGCAACCAAGGTACATGCCCTTGACTGGAATTGAACCTGGGACCCTTGAGTCTGCAGGCCAACGCTCTATCCACTGAGCCAAACTGGTTAGGGCTATTTTCTTACATTTTAAGCATAGTGTTTATTCAGTTTTCATACATACTTGCTGTCTACCTTTAAAAAGTAACTTCATGTGTCAATATGAGTTTGGGACTAGCAACATTTATGGCCCTGCAGGCTTAGGACAGGCTGTTAGGCTTAACTCACAGTAAGAAGTGAGACTAATGTTAAAGAAGTCAGAACTATGATATAACTTGATAATAACAATAAGTACTACACTAAGTTTTTCCATTTATTAAATAATTTAATACTCACAAAAATCCCAGGTAATCTTATTTTTCTCATTTCATAGATGAGAAAAATAAGTCTCAGAGAAGTTAAATAACTTGTTCAATATCACAGGGATAAGAAGTAGCAGAATTAGGATTCTGAATATAGTTTAGATTTTGAAAAAGTTTTAGTGTTAGCCAGTTTCTTCTAAATTGGGAAGTGAGATGGTATTATAATAATGAAAAGTCAGGTAAACTAAAGTTCTAATCTAGATTTTGACTTTTACGGTTTTATGACATTGGACTTGCCTCTTAACCTCTGTAAGCCTAGGTTTTTTCATCTCTGAAATGAGAATAATAATACCTGTGGTAATGTAGATAATAAATGGTAGCTTTTTAATTATTATCCTAGAATCAATAAATAGTGAAATTATATCTGATTAATAAATAACAATTGTTACAGACACTTTGGAAATCAAGGAAAATTTTTGTATGGTTTATTATTCTTTGCATTTTAATATCAGTCAGTGTTTTGTTTTTGCTTCTTTAATAGTTATGACTAAACAAAGCATTAAGATTTCTGATTTGATAACTCCTTTGTAACAAAATAATTAACATGATTTAATTGTCTTTTAAAAAGATAATTGAAGTTGCTAAACGCAAAAAAGAAAATGAGTTAATAGCCAAGAGAGAGAAATTGATTTTGGAACTAGAAAAGGAATCACGCCGCATGGAGGAGTTTGCAGAATTTGCAGAACTGGACCGCATGCAACAGGTTTGATAAATATATAAGACAATAGTTATGGCTGGTTCATAGATTAATACAGGACATGTTTACATAAGCTTAAGAAAAATGTGTGCTTACCATGGCAAGCAAGAGCCTGACTCATGGGCCTAGAACTGATACTATTTATATGATCTTTTTTGTGGCTTAGTTTTCTAAGATATAACCATACTTTTTGCTATCATAGTAATGTTGTAAAGTTGAGAAAGTTTCTATATAACATTACATGGATATTTTTTGAGATAAAAATTATTTGTTTTCAGTATGTGACCGATGTAAGACAACTGCAAAAACGTATTCAGGAATCTGAAGAAGCAGTTCAGTTTATTAATAAAGAAGAAGAACTTTTCAAGTGGGAAGTGACAAAATATCCTGAATTGGATAAATTGAAAGTTAACATTGAGCCCTATCAGAAGTTTTTTAATTTAGTCTTGAAGTGGCAACGAACAGAAAAACGGTAATTTCATAAATATAAATGTCATAAAAATAAAGCAAATGATGTAAAAGGATTCATAAAATGAACATACTAGCATATTGATTTTTTTGGTTTTGTTAGTTAAGTGTTTAAAGTAGGACTTATTTGTTAATTTGAAAGAGAACCAAGTATCCTAAAGGAGAAGCATCAAATATTACTAAAGTAACTACCTAAGCTTACTAATGCATATGATATCTAAAATATAACTTAGGTTTTCCAGAGGTGATTCCTTTTTTAATGCAGGTAGTTAATCTGACGAATGTTCACACCAAAAATTAGAAGTATGGATTCAAATCTACATTTTCTTTTGATACTATTAGTTATCCATTTGCAGTCTGGTGCATATTTTAGCGATGCAGCATAGCTGAACTGATGGTTTTAATCTTGTCTCTTTACCATCAGCTCTATCTGTGTGACTAAGAAAACCTGTTAACACTCTTGCCCTCATTTGTTTCTCTTTTATTTTTTATTTTTTTCCCCGCAGGCAGTGGCCCCTAAGAAGGAGGCATTCTTTTTATTTTTTTTATTTTTGTTGTGTGTGACTGGAATCGAACCTGGGACCCTTCAGTCCACAGGCCAACGCTCTATCCACTGAGCCAAACCAGTCAGGGCTGTTTCTCTTTTAAAATGAGAGGTCTAGCCTAATGAATCCCTAAAGTTCCTTCAAACACCAAACGTCTCTGAGTTTAATACTGTTTTTTTCTTTTCATTCAGGTGGATGGATGGAGGGTTTTTGGATCTTAATGGGGAAAGCATGGAAGCTGATGTAGATGAATTTTCCCGAGAGATTTTTAAGACACTGAAATTTTTCCAAATGAAACTGAAGAAGGAATTACAAGAAAAAAGAAAGTTAGCAAAAAGACGATCTGTGGGAGAAGAGAGAGTTGAAGAAGAACCAAAAGAGAATCCTACTATTAATATGTGCTCTACAGTAATGGAGAACATAAAAGTTTTTAAGGTATGAACACACTTAATGATATTTTCAAAAGCCCTGGAAGAGAGAGCTCTTCACATCATCAAGTGTTAATGAAGAGAAATAGATTTAGAAGCAAAAACCAAAGATGAATCCAGAACCTGAATCCAATGCTTCATTCTTTCCTGATGAAGTCATCAAAATGAATTCCTTCATGGAACAATACTTAACAAAAATAAAAGACTATAACAACTAGCTACAATGATATAGAGAGAGGATAAAAAAAATTAATAGGACAGACCAGTTAGCCTATACTAAGGGCAGCAACACAGGGTGACATTACTTAATTAGAAAAGTTTTGGAGTCACACTACCTAGGTTTATATCACACTACCTAGGTTTATTCTGCATATGTAGCTTCTTGTACCTCAGTCACCTCATTTATAAAGAGAGGATAATAGTTTTATGATAGTTAATATTGCATCTACCTTCCCAAGGCAATAATGGCAGTGGTTCTAATGTAGTGCCAAGTTTCTACAGTCAATATACTCGAGTGCCAACTCTGTGATGGGATTTTGAGTATTGTTCCTGTCTGTGTCTAGCGCTCTGAGATTCCATGAGCTGTATGAAAAAATTTTTAAGTAACTATTTAAAATTATTTTCAATGTTTAATGTATTTGTATGGTTTGAAAAAATAGGAAAAGATATATCTGAAAAGTTTCTTTCCAAAGTTTTTCACCCATGTAACTCAGGTTACCAGTGTTATTACATTCTTTTGTATATTTTCACAGTTTTGTTACACATATAATGATGTGAATATATGTTTTTTATCCTTTCATCTTTTTACATAAAATATATTGCACTATAGGTATTATTTCCCCTTTTGTTTTGATTAATTTGTCTTGGAGGCCTTTTCTCATGGTATATAGAGCTTTTACATACTTGTTGAGCAGTTGAATAGAATTAGTCTTTTTGTTTTCTCTCCAGCCTCATAAGGAGGTGCTCTCCACACAGGTTGGCACTACTTCTCTCAGCTTCTTCATGGGTGAGAAAATAATGAATTTTTAATGAAGCTAAATTTATCCACTTTGAGAGTATGTTTTTTCTACTTTATATGTGTTAAAAAATTATTTAACAAATAGTTATTGAGTGACTGTTCTAGCATGTTCTGATGAATCCTGGGGAATATGATGGTAAGCAAAAACAAGTGATGGTAATAATACTGGAAGGTTAAAACCCAAGTCCTTTCTTTTTTCTTTATTGATTAAGGTATTATGTATGTGTCCTTACCCTGCCATTGCCCCCCCACCCCTCCCATTCATGCCCTAACCTCCCTGGTGTCTGTGTCCATTGGTTAGGCTTCTATGCATGCATACAAGTCCTATGGTTGGTCTCACCCCCTTACCCCCTCCCTTCCCTACCATCCCTCTGAGGTTTGATGGTCTGATCGATGCTTCTCTGTCTCTGGATCTGTTTGTTGTTTTTTTTCATCACTTTATATTGTTCATTATATTCCACAAATGAGTGAAATCATATGATATTTATCTTTCTCTGACTGGCTTATTTCGCTTAGCACCGTGTTGAGCAAACTGCGGTCGCGAGCCACATGCAGCTCTTTGGCCCCTTGAGTGTGGCTCTTCCACAAAATACCACGTGTGGGCGCGCACGTACAGTGTGATTGAAACTTTGTGGCCCATGCACAGAAGTCGGTTTTTGGCCTGGGCGAGTCTATTTTGAAGAAGTACTGTTGATATTTGGCTCTGTTGACTAATGAGTTTGCCGACCACTGACTTAGCATAAACAACCAAAGTCCTTAATAATCAAAATTAAAAGTTGGATATTCTACAGTTCTCCAGTTTTTAAAAAAGAACTTTATTAAATTATTATTTGCAAAAAAACAAAAACATGACTGTCATACAAAGATAAAAATAAATATGTCAAATATTCTATCCTATTTATTAATTAATGAGATAACCAGTAAGATGGTAAGTCTGGTTCAAAGAACATTTGAGGAGCTGAGTACTTACAGGCAATTTAATAAAGGAATGTTAGGAAAAAATTGGTAGTATTGATAATATACCATAACAATATGCCATTATACCATTTGAAGTTTTTTTTTTTTTTATTAGTTATAAGTTACTTGCATCTATACTGGACATAAAGCTTAGGCAAGTTTGGGTCTTTTGTGGTTTTATATAAATCTCAGGATTATTTGTTCTAGTTTTGTGGAAAATGCCATTGCTATTTTGATAGAGATTGCATTAAATCTGTAGATTGCTTCGAGTGATATGGACATTTAAAAAATATCCTTTCAATCCATGAGCAGAGTATATCCTTCCATTTATTTGTGTCATCTTCAGTTTCTTGCACCAATGTCTTATAGTTTTCAGAATACAGGTCTTTTACCTTCTTGGTTAAATTTATTGCTAGGCATTTTATTCTTTTTTTGCAATTGTAAATTGGATTGTTTTTTAAAAAAATTTCTCTTTATGATAGTTTGTTATTAGTGTATAGAAGTGCAGGTTTCTGAATATTAATTTTGTATCCTTTAACTTTAGTGAATTCATTTATTCTAATAGTTGTTGGAATCTTTAGGGTTTTCTATATATAGTTTCATGTTATCTGAAAATAGTGACAGTTTTGCTTTTCCTTTCCAATTTGTATGCCTTTTTTTTCTTGTCTGATTTCTGTGGCTAGGAACTCTGTACTGTGTTGAATAAAAGTGGTGAGAGTGAGCATCCATATCTTGTTCCTGATCTTAAGGGAAAAGCTTTCAGTTTTCACCATTGAGTATAATGTTAGTTATGGGTTTGTCATATATAGCCATTATTATGTTGGGGTATGCTCTCTCCATACCCACATTGTTGAGTTTATTTTTTATCACAAGTGGATGTTTAATTTTGTCAAATGCTTTTTCAGAATCTATTGAGATGATCTTATGATCTTTTGTTTTGTTGTAATCCTCACCCGAGGATATTTTTTCCATTGGCTTTTCAAGAGGGAGGGAGGGAGGGAGGGAGAGAGAGAGAGAGAGAGAGAGAGAGAGAGAGAGAGTTCTTTACGTGAAAGAGACTCATTGATTGCCTCCCATCTGTATCCTGACCAGGGCAGGGATGAACCTGCAATTGATATATGTGCCCTTGACCCGGAATCAAACCCACGAATATCTTTCCATAACTTTCCACAGTTTCTTTTCTGAGCCACCTCAATGTCTTGCTGTTTGTTTCACTTGCCTTTGAGATGATCCTTTGACTTAAACTCAAGAGTCTAGAAAATGTATTCAGTCCTGTCTTTTTTAAAAAAAAGACAAATATAATTTCCAGGACTTTTTTCCCAGCTCCTACACTCTTTTTAAGCTCTCACTAACTGTAACCTCTTATTTCACGCACTTTTTTCCTCCTATAGTCAACCAACTTGGCATCAGAAGTCAATTAAGAATGAATTAATTAAAAAATATTTTAAATCCTCACCTGAGGATATTTTCCCATTGATTTTTAGAGAGAGTGGAAGAGAGAGGGAAAGCAGAGAGAAATATCTATGTGAGAGAAACACATTGATTGGTTGCCTCCTGCATGAGTCCTGACCACGGCCTTCGCTAGGGAGGAGCCTGCAACCAAGATATGTGCCCTTGACTGGAAATGAACCTGGGGCCCTTTGGTCTGCAGGCCAACGCTCTTTGGTCCACTGAGCCAAACCAGCTAGGGCTAAAATACATTTTAAACATTAATGAAAGGTAGCTGGGCCCTGGCTGGGTGGCTCAGTTGGTTGGAGCATCGTCTATACACCAAAAGTTTGCGGGTTTGATCCCCTTTACTAAGGCTTTATTAATGATTTTTATTAATTTATATTTTACTTAATTGTCTATGATATTGACATTAGCTAGAGTCTTCTAGCTCAGTATTTTTATCATCTGGGTCACACAAATTGACTTTTGACCCTCAGGGGTCTCCAACATGGTAGGAGAAATAGACTATGGACAACTGGTTGTAATACAAAACACAATGAAGAAATTCTTAGGGAGAGGATAACAGTACATACAGGGTACATACCTAGGTTGTGGGTTTGATCCTTGATCAGGGCATGTACAGAAGACAACTGACCAATGTTTCTCTCTCACATCAATATTTTTTTTTCTCTCTCTCCCTTCCTCTTTCTTAAGTCAATTAAAAAACAACAACATACATACCAAAAACATATCCTCGAGTGAGGATTAAAAAAAAATGGAAGCCAGGATTTTGATAGGGATTGCATTGAACTTATAGATTGACTTGGAAAATATTGCCATCTTAATAATATTAATTCTTACAATGTATGAACATGGAATGTCTTTCTATTTATTTAGGTTTTCTTTAATTTCTTCTAAAAATTATTTGTAATTATCAGTGTATAAGTCTTGTACTTCTTGTATACTTCTTGATGCTGTTGTACATGGGGTTTTCTCCTTACTTAAAATTTTGTATTGTTTATTTCTAGTTTATAGAAATACAATAGAGTTTTATAAATTGATATTGTATCCTGTAACCTTGCTGAACTCATTTATTAGTTCTCACAGTTTTTAAATGAATTCCTTAGGATTTTCTGTATACAAGATCATATCATCTGAAAATAGAGATAGTTTTACTAGTACTTTTCCCTTTCCAAACTAAATGATTTTTATTAATTTATATTTTACTTAATTGTCTATGATATTGACATTAGCTAGAGTCTTCTAGCTCAGTATTTTTATCATCTGGGTCACACAAATTGACTTTTGACCCTCAGGGGTCTCCAACATGGTAGGAGAAATAGACTATGGACAACTGGTTGTAATACAAAACACAATGAAGAAATTCTTAGGGAGAGGATAACAGTATCCTGTGAGAGAATAGAACATGGAGCAATTAATTTTGCCATTTGAAGAACAGATAAGGCTTTACTAAGGAGGTGACCAGAATATAAGTATGGTTTTGATGGGCTTGCTTTGAATTGGATTGGGAAGAGGAAAAGATAAGTAAGTATTCTTTTTTAAAAATACATTTTTATTACCTAATATTTGAAGAATATATGTAAAAAGTATGTAACTTATAAAGTATAACAAGAAAATGAACACCCATTAACCCTTCCCTCTACTTGAAAGTTAGATAATCAATACTTCTACTTCTCTCTGTGTACTCCTTCTCTATTTTATTTCTTTAATACTCTTTACAGATAAGTGCAGTATAAATTCTGTGATTCTCTTGCATTTTTAAAAAATCAATTTGTATATAACAATTCATAAAAATATATCATGCACATGTAGTCTTCTGTGACTTGATTTTTTTTTACTTGATGTTATGTTTCTAAGATTCCGCCACATTCTTGGGTGTAAGTGTAGTTCCTTCATTTTCACTGTTAGATATTATTGCTTACCTAATTTATTGATTTTCCTACTTACAGTCATGTGAACAAAAATCTCTCCCCTGATAGTACTTACATTCTACTTACATTTCATATTTCTTCTTCTGTGAAGTTCCTATGTATGCCTTCAGAATCTTCTTCTGTCATTGTTTGGTTATTGTTTCTTTCTATTGTTAATTTGTGGAATTTTTATAATAAATGCTGGATAATAACTCTTTGTCACTTATATAATAACTAGAGGCCCGGTGCACAAAAATTTGTGCACTCGTGGGGGAGAGGGGGTCCCTCAGCCCGGCCTGTGCCCTCTTGCAGTCTGGGACCTCGCGGGAGATAACGACCTGCTGGCTTAGGCCTGCTCCCGGGTGGCAGAGGGCAGGCCCAATCCCTAGGTGCAGCCCCTGGTTGGGCTCAGAGCAGGGCTGATTGGGGAGTTGGGGCGCCGCCCCCTGTCATGCACAGAGCAGGGCGGATTGGGAGGTTGCGATGCCACCCTCAGTCACGCTCAGGGTAGGGCCGATTGGGGGGTTGGGCCCCCGCCCCCTGTCACACTCAAGGCAGGGTCGATGGGGAGGTTGCGGCGCCACCCCCTGTCACGCACAGAGCAGGGCCAATCAGGGGGTTGGGCACTGCCCCCTGTCATGCACAGAGCAGGGCGAATCGGGAGGTTGCGATGCCACCCTCAGTCACGCTCAGGGTAGGGCCGATTGGGGGGTTGGGGCACCGCCCCCTATCACACTCAAGGCAGGGTCGATGGGGAGGTTGCGGCGCCACCCCCTGTCACGCACAGAGCAGGGCCAATCAGGGGGTTGGGGCACTGCCCCCTGTCACGCACAGAGCAGGGCCCATCAGGGGGGTTGGGGCTCCGTACCCTGTCACGCACAGAGCAGGGCCAATCAGGGGGTTGGGGCACTGCCCCCTGTCACACACAGAGCAGGGCAGATCAGGGGGTTGGGGCGCTGCACCCTGTCACACTCAGGGCAGGGCCAATGGGGAGGTTATGGCTCTACCCTGTCACACACAGAGCAAGGCCCGTGGAGGGGGGTTGGGGCGCCACCCTCTATCACCCACAGAGCAGGGCCGATCAGGGGGTTGGGGCGCCACCACTGTCACACTCGGGGCAGGGCCGATGGAGAGGTTATGGCTCTACCATGTCACACACAGAGCAGGGCCGATCAGGGGGTTGGGGCGCCACCACTGTCACACTCGGGGCAGGGCCGATGGAGAGGTTATGGCTCTACCATGTCACACACAGAGCAGGGCCGATCAGGGGGTTGGGGCGCCACCACTGTCACACTCGGGGCAGGGCCGATGGAGAGGTTATGGCTCTACCATGTCACACACAGAGCAGGGCCGATCAGGGGGTTGGGGAGCTCCCCCCTATCAGGCACAGAGCAGGGCTGATCAGGGGGTTTGGGCGCTGCCCCCTGTCATGCTGATCCCGGTGCCGGGAGGCCTCGCGGCTCCGCTGATCCCGGTGCTGGGAGGCATATTACCCTTTTAGGTAGAGGCGTAGAGGCCTGGTGCACGGGTGCGGGCCGGCTGTTTTGCCCTGAAGGGTGTCCTGGATCAGGGTGGGGGTGGGTGCCTGGGTGCCTGGCCAGTCTGAGTGAGGGGCTGAGGGC